AACATACAAAGCAGTTACCTGTGTCCTAAAGGATCATATAACTAAGTAAAGTGTCTATACAAATATGACACTGTTTACTTACATTTGATTAGAATCCCTAGACAACAAGAAAAATAATCCCTTTTGTGAATACTAGAAATGAACTATAATCCAAAATTAAGATGGAAAGATTATTATAAAATTTAATGCATTTACTTAGGTTTCTCTGAAGCATATACTGTGGTGTAAGAATCTTTCCTAAGCTCTGTGGTTTGGAAGAGTCTCCCAGCGGCCTGTGTATTAAAGACTTGGCCCCTAGTCTGTAGTAGCACTAAAGGAAGGAGTTAAATCCTTTAAGAGATGGAGCCTAGTGGAAGGAAGTTAGGTAATTTCAGGTTTGCCTTTTGGGAAGGGGGCAGGTAACTGGTATCCTAGCCACTCTTGTCTTTCTCCTTGTTTCCTGGCTGCCATGAATTAAACCTCCTCTGTCACATTCTCCCTGCCATTCTGTACTGTGCCACTCAGGCCCAAAGCAACGGGTCTACGTGACCATGATCTGAAGGCAGGATCCAAAACACTTTCTTCCTCTTACATTGTCTCTCTGGGCTATTCTAGCACAGTTATGGAAAGTTGACTTAAACACTAAGAGTGGCTCTCAATGAAGCAGAGAAAGCAAGCAAAATGATTCATAACATATGCACCATAATTTAAAGCAAGTGTCAGCAAACTTTTTCTTAAAAGGGCCAGATAACAAACATCTTAGCCTTGTACTTCATAAGCAGCCAAAAATACTATATAAACAGGTGAGCGTGCCTATATGACAATAAATCTTTATACATGAACATTGAAATTTGAGTTTAATGTAATTTTCACAGGCCATAAAATATTCTTCATTTTAATTCTTTCCAACTATTTAAGCATACAAAAGCCACCCTTATCTCACATCCTGAGGAAACCCCTGCAAAAGGTCAAGTCTGGTTTGCAGTTGTAATTATCTACCTCTTGCTTTATATTTTTTATTTTATTTTTGGAGACAGAGTCTCATATAGTCTAGGTTGGCCTTGCATCTTCTATATTACTGAGGCTGGCCTTGAACTTCTAATCCTCCCAATGGGTGAGATTATAGGTGTACACTGCCATGTTTGATTTAAATGGTACTGAGAATTACGACTAGGACTTTATGCATGCTCAACAAGCATTCTATAAACTGAGCTGCATGCTTAGGCCCCAATTCATCCCTTAGATGACTGATTTCTCAAAGTTCAGTGCTCAGTCCACCAACCATGCAGCACCTGTAAGAAACACGCAAGGAAGAATCAGTGTGGTACCAACCACATGTTCTACTTTGATAAGCACTGATGTAAAGTCTACAGACACCCAGAGGCCAGACAGTGATCAACCTATGTACTGTCTCTGGACAGAGAAGTGACCTGAGGAAATCTGAACCTCTCTGTGCCTCAGTTTCCCCCCCACACACACATTATCTCCCTCATGCACACTCACTCAAGCATACATACATCACTGAAAACAAGAATTGTTGTTATCATACCCATCTTCTGAAGCCAGCAATATATTTACCAAAATAGTAGAGAAAATAGAAAAACTCACCCAAGAGCACATGTGAGTCTTGAAATAAAGGAAAGGTTCAAGTGGAAAGAGGAGTACAAAGTACCCCAGGGCCCAGGTTATCACCACCACATATCTTCTGAAGACCTACACTCTCCCTCGCCCCTAGCACATGAACCCTTAAATATCCCCTAAGAATACCTGTCACACAGGAATCTCCAAGAATCTGTACCCCAATTTGCCCTTTAATTCCATGAAATTTATCTTCCATTAAGATGCATATTGTTTTTTACAGCTTCTATTTCTAGTTATAGATTGTAAATTTTCCTTCTGCTGAGTCTTGGAGCTGACTGTTTTTCATTATATTTGTAAGGCACGGAGGAAAAAGAAGGGAGGCCATTCCTTTATTTGAGAATTCTGACATTTATTAGCATAATAAAACTCTCAAGATGAAATTGCAGTTTTCCAGACAGTAATTTCATTTGCAGGACAACTTACAAGGAATTTATTTGAAAGCCAGGTAAAACCTAAAATATATGAGACGTGCAGAAAGTGCAGACCCCAAATAAAATGAAATAAATGTGTTAGGGATGGAAAATTCAGCTCTTATCTCTCACATATTAATTAGCAGTCGACAGGAACCACAGCCAAGATGTCAGGTTTTCAACCCATCCTGGACTCCTTTCAAAGCTGCTGTTGGAACTTTCTTCCAGTGTGTGGGAAATCATCTTGAGGAATCCCTTGACACAGCACTGCCTGGCAGAAACCTGCCACTGTGTGGTTGTGAGCAGCAAGATCTTTCATTTGGACAGAGATGCCCTATTTGTCCCTTAATTGATCAGCCAGAAGAAACTAATGATGACCTCACAAAAAATCCTCCTCTCAGTTATACAGAGGTTTAGTGAGATTTGGTGACCTGCATAACTTAACATGTTGGTACATAGCAAAATCAGAACAAAAGTGGGTCTTCTGCATGCTGGTAGAAATAACATAATTTGGAAAGAACTTGGCTATGGTTTGAGAGTACCATAGAGTTCAGAAAGCCGAGTCCCTCCACCATCACTTCATTTCTTTCATTCATGCACAGGTGCAGGCTGACTGGCGGGAAACTGTGAAACTAATTCATAAAATCGTTATTACTTAACATATTGGGGCCAATTGTGCTGTCATACATGCCATCCCAGCACTAAGGAGGCTAACTCAGGAAGATCATGAATTCAGGACCAGACCTGAGATACATAATAACTTCCAAGCCACTTGAGCTACCTGGTAATACACTAACTCAAGATACAAACAGTAAAAATACATGTGTTGGATGGTAGATACTTAGCTTGGGTTCCCAGAAGGCAAAGACTAAGCACAATAGCTACTTGGCTCAGGGATGCTATCCCAGAAGAATATTCCCGAGAGTTAAGAGGCAGAGAATGAGTGACAACAGGGATGTAGGTGTACCTGGCTACTCCATCATGCATGATTGCCTTCTAAGAGACCACATCAAAAGCTGGCTTTCAGAACAGTCCCTTTAGGAGGATGAAGGAAGAAGACGTGATTGACCAAAATGAGCATTATCTCAAGGCTCACTGAAGCAATGGGGGGGGGGTGTAAATAAATGGTAACCTTTGTTTGTTTGTTTGTTTGTTTTACTAAAAGGGAGAGGTAGTAAAAGAGAGAAAGACCCAAGCACAGTGGTAACACTTATAGTCCCAGAACATGGGAGGTGGAGACAGGAAGATCAGAAGTTCAACACAGTGAGTTTAGGGTCATGGTGCATTATATAAGATCCTATCACAAAAAATGGAGTGGGTGAAAAGACAACTAGAGTAATTAGACTGAGACATTCTGAATCCACTGACGAAGAAGCCTAGAAAATTTGGATCAATATCTCTTAAAGAGCTTTGTGATGTTATGTACTAAAAATATTTTCTTATACAAAATTTCAGGCTCAATCTCATCAAGCCAAATAAATATGAAATAGAGCAAATACAAAAATAACAGTAGAAAACAATGAGTCCAGAACGTGGGATATTTTGCAGAACTGCCCAATTTATACACTAAATCAAGAGCTGAGTAAAGGAATAAGGATGTTATCTGAGACTTAAAAGAATACCAGATACTACATGTAAATCTTGTTCAGATTCTAAGAGAAGAAACTATAAAAGATGCCTTCTAGCCCTAGCCTTTACTGAAGTATTAGTAGTTGATAATCGCTTGGGCAGAAATGTCATTCTTCTTTGAAGATGTGGCACTAGTAAGAATTCCATGGTGTGATGAAAGGCCACACCCATGCACATGTGGGCAGTACTAATGGGATTTAGTGAGTTTTTTTATTAATACATGACATTGGGAGCATACTGTGATAAATGGGGGAAGAAGGGACAGTAAATATTGTCATTTTTTAATTGTATAGATGTATGAAATTCTCAATAATAAAGAAAAACTGTTTAAAAGATAAATTGATAAATGCCCCCTTAAATCCATGAGTGACAAGTTGTCATTGGCATAGGTACACTTGAGACTGAAGAACACAGTGAATGAACAAAAGCAAAGTCAGTCGCAAGGGACTGGCTGCAATGATAGCCATGGGTGTGGGTGATGGCCAAGGATGACAGAAACAGAGGAGCCAAGAGATAAAGTGGAGAATAAGAGATACTTGACACAACTCTCAAGGCAGGTAGATGATTCCTTGGTGTCTTCCCAGCCTTTTGCTGCAATCCACACCCACTGCTGCAAGGATCATGGTATCAGCAAGTTTTAGAGTGTGGATTGGAGCCTAAGTCTTCCAGATTTCAGAACCTGCAATCCTGCTGTCACACCTGCTGTCTCATTGTGTGTGGCCAGAAGGGAACAACATAATTTAATTATGCTCAAATTAGATACCATCCTCGAGTTACTGATTTATTGGAATCTTGCTCTCATTAATATGAAGAACATGTTCAGACTAAGAAGACAGAAGAATTAAAGTGAAAACAGAGCTAAGCCTTTAAGTGAGAGCATCCTAGATAGCAAATGTCTCATCAAGTATCTAAAACCCATCCTTGGACTTATAATCCATCCCAGATCTTATGCATATTTGCATGACACTATTACCTCAATATTGCAAAACAGAAGGCAAGATATGAGATGATGTAGAAGTGGTTAAACAAGGAAGAATGCATAGTCAGTCTCCTGTTCTGAAAGCAGGGCTTAGAAACCTTAAGTAATTTCCATGACGGTATCAGCAAGATCATGAACACTAGGAAAGACACAATATCTGTGTCTACCATGTAGGTTAGTCACAAGCAAGCTTGTGATCTCTGTGACTTTATGACATAGCTTAGAAAATAATTTGCTAGAAACCATTGCACATTGGTGTTGGGAGTTTTTTCACAAGGGCATTTATTCAACAAACACTTATTGGGTATTGACTCTATATTAAATAGAAGGTTCGGCACTGGAATTGCTTTGGGATACTAAAACATGATCCATTCACTCTAGGAGTTCGGCTAGACAGTCAGGCCTCCAGGAACATTTGTTATTTAGGGTTTATGTCTTGAGCTCTGGGATGGGACCAGTTAAACAAATGTAGTCACATTTTGTAGTTCACATTCTGGAAACTCACTGGTACCATTGTTCATCTGATGGACGGTGGATCTTCTAGAAGACCATGAGGCTTTGAGTTGGGATATGCTTAAATTCAATTCAAAATCAGGATATTCAAAGGAGTCCATAGAGGAGGAAAAACATCATTCAAACAACAGGTGATAGTCTGGTGGGCTATCCCTCTGTCCACAGGGTTCCTGAAGCAACTCTCCCCCTGAAACAGTGATTATTTCCTCCTAAAGGGAAAAAGAAGAAAGGAAATCCAATTATGATCAAGAGGAGATATAAATACTCGTGGGGAATCAGGTAGAGAACTGGAGACAGAAAGACTAAGGCCATGCATCTACCTCCCCTCAACCTTCCAGAAATGAAAGGAGTAATCTTCTAAGAAGAAATGTATCAGTTCTGTATAAGAAAATAGGAAGAAAGGCCACCAACAAGTAAAGTTGTAAAATAATAGTGAAAAACAAATGATTGTCTGAGAAGTGCAAGCTGTGAACAGATTGGGGACATAACTCCAATAATGTTTGCCCATGTTTTTGGTGAAACTGAGGAGCCCCAAAGTACAGACATTCCCGTATTGTTGGCCCCAAGCCTACAGCAGAAGACACTGGATTTGGGAAGCAGAAATTGTCTACTCACTGATAAATTTGAGATTGAAAGTTGGAAGGCTGTCTCATTCTTGAGGTATTTAAGGACCACTTCAACTATAACAGAAAAATACCAAACTCAAAGTTCAACTGATTTCTAAGAAATCAGTTTATAAAGGAAACAGAAGGAAGCTTTAAGAGATCTACATTATGTTTCTCAACGGGCTAAGTCACCCATGAAACAAGAGTGGGTTGTTATAAGAAAAAATGAGCATGCAATTGAAAAGCATGGCTGTTTAAATTAAAAATATTTTCAGCAGATTAGATGTAACTAGAGAGAAATTTGGTAGATACAGAAATTGTAATATCAAGGAAAAGATACCTAAAAATAGAAAATGGACTGTGAATAAGAAAAGACAATTTACAAGTGACTAGCTGGAAGTAGCCATTAAGTATATGAAAAGACACCTCAGCATCAGTGGCCAAAGAGAGAAATGTAAGCTAGATAATAGTGAGCTATAGTGTCTGCCTGTCTGATGCAAGAAACAGCCTCATATAGTTCTAGCAGGAACATGAATTGGTGCCATGTTTTTGGATGGCAATCTGGCAGGTCTTCTGTAATTAAAATGTGCATACTTTTCAGAAATTTCATTTCAAGGAATTGATCCTGAAAAATGCTGCACATGTATCCATAGTGACAAAGTGACAGATACATAGTACAGAAGTCTCTGAAACACTACTCATGACCATGAAACTGGAAGGTGGAGAGATGGGCACAAGAGGAGAATGAGTAATTAATCTGTACTCTACACCCATACCAGGGAGTCCACGGAGAATTAACAAGTTCTCCTACATATACTAATCTGTGGGAAAATCTGCCAGACAGAGTTTTGAGACAAGTTCATATGAGTCACAGGCTAGCCTTAAGCTCACTATGTAGGTGAAGATGACTTTGAACATTTTATCCTCCTTTCTCTGACTCTTGAGTGCTGAGATCACAGTCTCACATATACACTATTCACCCCATCTATGTGGTGCTGGGGATCAATGTGGTGCTAGGCAAGTAATTTAATATCTGACCTTCATTTCAATAACAGACAGCACTTATTGATGATGTTATATTTTTCATCATGTTACACAGTGACACCTCATTGAAGAGGAAACTGTGCCACAAAAGCCTGAGTAGTAACCCAAAGCCATGTATAATACAAAAATTGAGATTTGAACTTGACATTCTGGTGCCAGGAACCATGTCTTTAAACACTACCTTCTACAATTTATTGAGTATGGGGTTGAAGGTTAAATTGTTGAGTTATATGCTGTAAAACTCACAAAACTACAAGGCAGGTGTGGTAGTATAGCACTCATGCGGCAGAAGCAGATGGATCTCTGTGAGTTTGAGGCCACCCTGGTCTACAAAGTGAGTTCTAGGACAGGTAGGGCTGTTACACAGAGAAACCCTGTTTCAAAACAAACCACAAAACTATGCATTTTCTTATTGCATAAGTTTTGCTATTACTTCCCAGAAAATAACACATGACACACTAGTTCATTCATTCAGAAGATGGAATTGGGGGCTGGAAGTAAATGAGGCTGATGTATTAATGTAATCACAAACTAACAGTAATTAAAATTTAATTTATCAAAACTGACCACCAGACCTCCATGTGGGCATAGATTATATCTTTGTGTAGGGCTAGAAGTAAAAATGTTGACCTTCAGAATGTAAATTCAGAATGAATAAAGCCCTTCCAAGACATCTGGTCTGGTCTTACTGTGCAGAAGCTGCCCTGAGAGCTGGGCACTGACACTTTGATTGAATCACTGGTGGAGATGGGGAGCCATAGCTAGTGAAGTAGCTTATTTTGAGTAGGAAAAAAATCCACAAGGGCTCAGTGGAAAGCACAAGCTGGAGAGAAAGACAGCCAGAGGTTTAACTCTTGACTGCAGCTGGTACCAGCATGAGAACTTAGCCAAGTGCCTTGGCCATTCCAGTCTTGGTTTCCTGGACTGTGAGGAGGGCTAAGGTGCCTCTATAACAGGGGACACAGTGATTATGAGGGCATGTATGTTTGACCCAGAACAATACTACCAGAATCCACACATTCCCTTCCTCCTACTTCTGGCAGTTATAAGGCCCTTCACAACACAAGTAAAAATTCACCCTGACTAAGTCTAGTTCTACAGTAGTACTCTGAGCCCAAGTAACAAAATGAATAGCTCTCTCTCTCCCCCCCCCTGGGGTGTGTGTGTATGTGTATGTGTGTGTGTGTGTGTGTGTGTGTGTGTGTGTGTGTGTTTGGTATATAGTATTGTTGTTGTCGCTGCTGCTGCAGTTGGTTGAGGGTTTTGTTGTTATAACCTAAGCTGCCCTTGAACTTGTGATTCTCCTGCCTCAGCATCAACAGTGCTGAGATTACAGGTGTTTCTAAACACACCTAGCTAGGCAGATAATTTTTTTATGTCTTTTATCATAAGGCCAGGTGAGGAGGTATCTCTCAAGGCCTGGGTCTTTTGTGGATGGATAGAATTTTTAAAAAGCAATATACAATCCAAGAAATGCTATTATAGAAAAATCTCAGTGAAAGCAATTCTGTGATGCCTTCTACATCTGTGAAACTCAAGTAGCTGTTAGATGTAAAATTCTCATAACTTTATCCCAGAATCCCTCAAACCTTCCCTTCTTGTTGATAAGGTACAACTGTTCTTGCAGTTATGACAGCTGCAAACAACTGCATTAACCCAAAAGCTGCTTCCCACTATGATAAATATGAGACATTCACAAGACAGCATCTTTCCCGATGTGGGTCAGTGATAGGAAAAATGACAGAGTCCTGGACTCAGGATCTCCATACTCAGTGGGTGGTCACAGGGTACAGTTATGGATACAGTCTTGTTTAAAGATCACAACACCTCAAATAAGCACTATGTGTGTGTACTCATATGCTTGACTCTATGCTTCGAATGTACTCTCCAAAAGCATGTGTTCCACACATAACTACAATGTCTGGGATAGGACCCAGAATCATGTCAAAGGGCTCTGCCTCCACAAATAGATCAAAATGATTATTCCTTGTTATGAGTTTTCCCTTATACGTGTGTGTGTGTGTGTGTGTGTGTGTGTGTGTGTCAGAGAGAGAGAGATGCATGTGTCTGCATGTGCATGTGAGTGTCATCTTGCCTGTGCACTAGGAGAGTATGGAGGCCAAAGGTCACTCTCCAACTTAATTTTGAGACAGAACCTCTCCTCTGAGCCTGGAACTTGCCATTTTGGCTACACTGGCTGGTTGATGATCCCTCAGGATCTGCCATGTCACTCTCACTCTAGAACTGGGGTGCAGATATATGGGTATTGGGGATCTAAGCTCAGGTCTCCTGTTCACAGAGCAAGCACGCTACCCACTGAGCATAACCATAGTTCCATATTTGAACCCCTCTTGTAGTTGCCCATTTTCTTGCTCTCACTCCTCTTTCGATCTTCCACAGTCTGCCAGGAGATGATGCAGCAAGAAAACCTCCTTAATTGTCATCCTCCTTGAGGGACAGTCCCTCCACCTTGGACTTCTCAGATTCCAAAACTAAAAATTACAAATTAAATTTTTCAATATGTTTTGCTCTATTGTAATGGCAACAAAAACAGAGGACATGGAAGCTCGGTAAGACTAAGTAACCTGGACAAGATCACCCATGTCCCAAGTGGAAAGGCAAATTCAGACAAGAAAAGTGGTGACTCTGTTGTGGAGAGAAGTTGCTGCTATAGCCACATGGATGCTTGCTGCACTCTATCTAGCTTCAAAGCTGCCAGAATTCTGGGTAGCAACTGTTCCGAGAAGTGAGACAGCAGACACTCAAAGGAGAGAGGCCTGGAAGCAGGCTTAATGATGCACAGGAGGCCAAAGCATGAGGCGTGAGGCAGAGGGGAGACAATGAACCCCATAACCTGCCCTGGACAACCTCTAGTCTCTTCTACCTGAATGTGCCATAGGCCTAAGACCCTTACACGTGTAGCCTGCACCTGCTGTGCTTACTCCATTCTCTCTTCAGTCAGATTCTGGCAATCCCATACCCTAATAACACTTCAAAGAGGTATACCTTGTGGAAATCAATGAGATCCGTGAGGGTGGCATGGCGATTGGGGTCCACTCCCAGAAAACTGTAGAAGTCCCCAGAGGCATCCACAAGGAAGTGCTTGAAGCCTCTCTGCAGGCGATAGGACAGGGTATAACCCCAGATCTTCTCACTGACCCGGACCAGAAATGCTCCCTCTGTCATATTCTCCAAAAGGTCTTCTGCATTCTCTCTGCTAATAATTCCTAATGTAAAAATAAAATGAAAAAGAAAGGAAAAATTAAAAGGCCTTTATAGGTTCTATACCTCTTTCTACTACACTGCCCAGTCATCCCCAACCCCTTTCTCTCTGGCTCAGTTCACAGGTCAGCCATGCTGCCTGGGATATGGGAAGAAAGGACCTTAGGAGGGTTACTGGTCTCTGCCTGCTGCTGCAGAAGTATACTGACCCAGAGCAATCAGCCATGAGCCTGATGACAGCACTCCTACATGGAGCAGAGTGGTGCATGCTTTCTTCCAAATTAAAACACACTAATTTTGATTAATTAGATAAGCAAGGAATTACTAATGAATGGGAATTATAGCATCTATTGATTACAAATACTAGAGAGCCTTAAAGCCCAGAGTTAATGACTAACCAGAATGATGGAGGACCATGCCACAATGACCTGGTACAGTAGATGAAACCTGAATAGTGTTTTCCCTTGAGGCAGGAGGGCCCAACCTTGTGACATTGAAGCACAACTTTGTCATCAAAAGAATATTACCCTAAAATAATACACAATAATAACACTTTGAACACATTTACAATTTTCTTTACAGCTATCCTGAGGCACATGCAGCTCCTGAGCATGAAGGAAGCTTCCTCCCAAATGCCCAAATGCCTATGCACACTGAGCACAAGATTCCTTAGTGGAACAAATAATGAAAATCCATTTCCCACAAGACCTTTCTAAGCTGCTTCAACTATGTCATGTGGTACCATCACAGTGTGAAGGTCAGGTCTGCCCTTGAAATTACTTATGCATTGGCAGCAACCCCTAGCAATGTTTTCCTAAAGATGCCTTCATCCAAGTGACTGAGAGAAGCCAAGTATTGGCTGGATCAAACTCTGAAGACTATGGAGGGAGGAAGAGAAGAGGGATTCAGAAAAGGTAGATTCATTCTTCAGTACCTCCTCACACTAAAGCATCTTCTGACAAATCCTTAACTTCTCCAATGCTCTTTGATATTCATATGATTATAACCCAGATCTATCCCATAGCTACATTACGGCTTTCAAATCCAATTTAAAAGTTCCAGATGTTTTTGTTCGGTTGGTGGTTTTTAACCTGGTAATAACTGTGGCTTTGGTGGATCCTATTTTCTGCTGTTTTGGAAGAACAATGAATTGTAACACATCCCCCTCTACACACCTACTTGCAAGGGTCACATCCTTTATGTTCCTTGTGCCTGAGGTAAGGAACACATGTGTCCACATTGCCAAATAACCCTTTAAAGACAGTCAACATGCTTGAGGGCTACTGCTCATATCATCACCTAGGACTCAGAACAAATGGCAACCGGGCTGGCTAGCTATCCCCAACCAGGCAAGGTTAAGTGGATAGATAGCCCAGGAGATAGAGGGAGGCCTCCTAACCATAGTCACCTAAAGAAAGTACACCATCCCATGCCAGAACTGTACTATAGAGTGATCTCAGATAAGAAGCACAGAATTGGTTTGTGATAATTAGTTTTAATTGTCAACTTGACACAACATAAAATTACCTGACAGATGATTTATATCAGACTGGCTTCCACGCATGTCTGTGCAAGACCATCATGAATGCCTTAAATGATATTTGAATATGTAGTTGGCATTGTCTTTTGGCCACCAATGAGCTCCCAAATAAAGACATAGAAACTTCTTATTAAGTATGAATGCTCAGACTTAGCTTAGGCTTGTCCCACTAGCTCTTTGAGTTTAATTTAACCTGTTTCTATTCATAAACATTTTGTCTTGGGAATTTTTACCTTTCATTCTGTATGTTCAACCTTCCTGTTTCCTCTGTGTCTAGCTGGCTGGCTCCTGGCATCTCTTTTTCTTTCTTCCTTTTCCTTCTGTTGTTGAGCCTGAATTTCTCCTCCTACTTACTCTTCCCACCCAGAAGTCCCAACCATGCCTCTTCCCTCATTATTGGCTGTTTAGCATTTTATTAGGCCAATCAGGTGCCTTATGCAAGCAAGGTAAAACAGCAACATATCTTTATATAATTAAACAAATGCAACATACGTTTACATATGCAACACATCTTTAAATAGCTAAATATTTGAAACACATATTTGCATAATTAAACAAATATTCTGCAACAGGAAGACCCAGCCGCAAAGCGGGCAGCACTATTGCCCAGCTTGAGGTCCTGTACTATATAAAAACATGGAAACCTAACTTAGCACTAAACATAAACACTTTCACTTATTTCCTGCTCTTGACTTTATATCTGATGACCACCTGCTTCAAGTTCCTGGTCCTGGTTTACCCACAGTGATAGACTGTAACCTGGCACTGTAAACAAAATAACCCTTTATCCCCTAAATTGCTTCTAGTCCACACATTCTGTTACAGCAATAGAAATGATACTAAAAGAAGATTGTGCACCAGTTAGAGGCTTCCTACCCTAGGATCTACATTATTGCTACATTTGTAAGCCATAACATTGGTATCTAGCTCTCTCATCCTGAATCTCCTACACAAATGCTTCCATTCTCAGGCATGAAAGCTAAAGGTTATATGTAATTAGGAACCATGAGAAACTAACGTCAGAGCCAGCATTGCACAATTGCTGACACTATTACCCCCATCATATCTAGTCTTTATAACACCTGGTTATCAAGAGACTGTAACAGAGAATCCAGAGGTTCAGGACTTCCCATGGACACAGAGATGCTAAGGGTAGAGTCCAGACTTAGACTTGAGTCCTCAGAGCTCCAAGTGCAGTCTTTTTTGCTCTGTACCATTTTATTTCATAAAGGACAGAAAATGCTTTGAAAGATACAATTAAAGGGAGATTAAGGTAAGCTGAGTGGAGGCAATGGAGAGGGAGAAGAAGTGGAGTGTGAGAGCTTGGTAGATTGTGCATAAATAGCAAAGAGAATAATAGTAAGGTGTTAAGAAGAGAAAATGGGATGATAGAGTAAAGAGGTCTACCATGGGTAAATTTAATGTAAAGGAAGTAGACAGTGTCTCAGGAGGTTCAGAGACATGGAAGACACAACAGAAGACCTCACAACTATATAGTCTAATCCCAGAAGAGAGGCAAGAAGAGGAGAAGGAAGGGAATAGGGATAGTACTTAAAACTGAGTGGTTGAGAATTATCAAATACGTATGGTAAAGTTATACAAAGATATTTAATATCACTTTTATCAACCAGAGAGAAAGGGCAGATTACCAAGAAAGACAGTTATGGTAACTTCTAGTTGCAGTAATAGAAGCCATAGGAAATTAAAACAACATACTTAGGGTACTAAGAGCAAAACAACTATATTTAATGAGACAATAATTTGAGATAATAATTTGAGATGAGCACAATAAAGTCATCCTCAGAAAAGTAAACTTGAGGGAGTTTGTTAGTAAAGGATATAGTTTAGGGAAAAAGAAAATGTGTACTGGGAAGGAAATGTGAGGATCAGGAAGGACTGGTGGGTCAGTCTACACGCAAAAAACAACCCAATCTTACAGCAAGATGAGAACAGAATGAGTATGCTGTTACCAAGATCAATTATAATGCACAATGGAAATGTGCCAGCTATACACAAAGGAATTTTACTCAGCTGCAAAGAAACATGAAGTGATAGAATTTTTCAGGAAAATTGTCACCTAGAAAATATCATTCTGAGTGAAAATAACCCAATCTCAAAAAGACAAATGTAAGTGTTTGTCCCACTCAAATGTGGCTCCTAACATCAAATCTTTAGATTTGTGTGTTTAATTTGAAGTGTCAATGGAATCCAGGAAGCTAGAAAGGGGCTATTGTCAGGAATGAGGAAGAAAGATCTTAAGGGAGGAGGTATCCTATTTTGGTTTCTGTTTCTGTAAGGAACACTGTAACCAAAAACCTTGAGAAGGAAGGTGTCTATTTTGGCTTACAGTTTCAGCTCATCACTGAGGGAAGCCAGGGCTGGAACTCAAGGCAGGAACCTGGAAGCATAAAGTGACCAAGGAATCACAAATCAGTGCTACTCACTGACTTAGTTCCAGTGATTTTCTCAGCCTGTTTTCTTATACCACTAAGAACCACCTAACCATTGGTGACATGCCCCTAGTGAGCTGGACCTGTTCTACAAACTTGCTGGCAGGCCAATCTGATGAAAGCATTTTCTCAATTGAGATTCCTCTTCCCAGATAACTTTAGCTTGTGTCAAGTTGGAAAAATAAAATAAAAACAAAAACAACTAATCAGGACAAGGAGATAGTAGAATGCAAATGATATCAAGGGGAAAACTGAAATAATGGGGAGGGAAGTTTAGGTGGGTAGAAAGATGGTAGGGTAGGAAGGCAAAGGAGGAAATGGCAGATGGGTAGCACTAAGGATATTTGAAAAGGACATAAGAAAACCTATTTTGTATTTCTTACCCCCCCACACACACACACCTCATACCTACACATATATACATTAGTTTAATTGCAATTACCCTACACAAAGAATAATGCTCCTCCAAGAAGCCACACATTGCCACATAGAAAGCCCAATCAAGACTATCCAGGAAGGTCCCAACATAATACAGGCTGTGGCCACTGCTCTTGATTGCCTACCAGAAGTTGATCACAAGACCCTATTGGTGAAGATGCCAGACACTTAGATAACACAACATGGAGAAATCAAGTTGGTGCTAACCATGACGCTTCCTTCCTGTTAGCTAGCTTTCACAGTAACAGGAGGTGCTATGTGGGCTGCTGTGGGGAGAAAGTTGTCATCAGCTCTACCCATCTGTAAATCTGTAAACTGCAATCATGACTAGTGTGACCAGATATGCCCACCGTGCAATAGTGGCACAAATGTTATGAGAGCAACCACTCTTTCCCTTTGGAGTTAACCCCACAGGAGGAATCAAAGGTCTGGCATGATAACTGTCCAAGAACTCATGGTTGAGAAGTTTTCAGGCCCCAGAGAAAAACTATTATTATTCTGCCAAATGAACACCATATCAAACTGACATCTAAATTTGTATCTTCATAACTATACATTAGTGTAGCTTTGAGATCAC